TTACATAAAAAGATATTACAACGCTATGTCTTACAAGACTTAACATGAAAACCTACGATAGTTTTATTCAGCTTAAATGGAGAACAGAATGTTCATGATATTTTCCAACAAATTGTAGAACTATGTCTATAAAATAAAATTACAGTATCTACAGAAATACCTATAGAAATGAACAGTAAATGATTTCTATTAAGTTATTTAGCTATTTTCTACAATTAAATATAAACTTAGAATTATAATACCTCAAAAATCTAAAATATTATTGTGTAACATTTTAAAACCTTTCAAATAACTGTCTCCAGGACTCGCTTCCTTACCTACGAACCCCGGCGTGGATCCTCCCCAGGCGTTGGGCACACGGTGACACCGCGCGGTGCCGGTCGCGCTCTCCCGGCCCAGGGGACCTGGCGCTGGCGCCGCCGCTTCGCCCGGTGCCACGGAGGGCAGCGCTCCAACATCCCTGCCCCTCCATCCCGAAGGGCTTGGGGATGTTGTACATGAACTGTTCATCTCCTTGGGGGATCACCCAGATACACGAGCGCAGTCAGGTTTCCGTATCCCCAGGAAGAGACACCCGTTATTGCATTAAGAGCATTAAGTGTATTTAAGGACGAATGCAGAGCTGCTTCACAAATGAGCAGTGCTAGAGTCAGTCTCAGCACATGATACATTAAAATAAACTCGGTGTTAATTTATACAATGAAATACCAAGCTGTAAGAGTCAAACAAACACATGTGCACGTTCACACTGAGTAATTTTACAAAGGGCATCTTAAAAGAAGAAATAAAGGCTACTTACACCAGAATAGAAAGGCTCACCAGACACGCAGATCACATCCTGCTCCTGGATCATCAAAATATCTTTGGCTAAGTGCAGCCGCACTTTGAAAGGCTCCTGGTTACCATCCTGCAGCAAACAAATCCCTGTCTTTGTCTTCAGGAAAGGAACCCAGGAGAGAAAAGAAAAAGTTGCCTTGGTAAGCAAGTTGTATTGAAGTTGTATTGCCAACAACTGTATTCCAGCAAATGGAATAACAGACACAGCTTAGAGATCAGCACCATTAACAGAAGCATGTCAGCACATATGGAAAGCTATTAACAGGGTTGCTATATCTGTTTATTGCTCGGACTATAAAATAACGATGGTCAGGGTAGCAGGCAGTAGAGGTGGATTTTGGTATCATATTTTGTTAATGATCAAATAGGGAAACTCCTGCTTAAGAGAAGCTACTCTCATACTATCCAACACTAGATTAAATAATTTCTTACTTAGACATGACATTAAACCTGATATTCCTGCATATTACAGTGAATTTTGAGAAAGGAAGGCATATAATAATTCCTAAAAAAATGCCAGTTCTAAATGTATCCAGTAGCAGCCAACTATAACGTGTCGTGAGCTCCTGCTCTGCGAGTAAAACACTGATTTCAGCTTTTCTGTTGTTTTTCAAATGAGGATGCTGCATTTCAGAGTAACAGAAAAGACATCAAAGAACGAATCTTCCTCTAGTAACTGACTTCATGCTTCTGTATTTTATTTCTGGTTAGAAGTTGGGAATTTTGCAGGATTCTTCAATGTACAATAAATGTCTTTCCATCGACATAACTGTGTCATTGTGGCAATAACTTTTACACTACTGTTTTTTTGGCATTTTACATAAAAGGTTTGAGCAGTAACTACCTGCAGTATTTCATAATCTTTCCCTGAATGCTGTTTTGAAAATAACACTCCTTATGTACTTTGTAAAAGTCATATTGGTAGGTCATTTTTGGTATAAGAAACTTACACATCATCTAAAAATTCATTGTTACAATGCACATTTTACAAAAATTATATAACTAAAGCTGTCTGAATATATATATATATATATATATATTCCAGAAACAAGTCATAGATAAAAATGATTTCAATTCTTGGATTTATCAATGACAATAAGAAAGCTTCCAGTATTGTAATTCAGGTCAGATTTCAACTTAGTGTATGTAAAAGCTTTTTTAAAAATGGATCAAGCGAAAAAAAAAAAAAAAAAGCCTTGCTGTGACTTTCTTTGCTGAAGAAGACCTGGCTTAATCTGAAGGCTCCATTTCAAGTAAGAGCCTGAAAAAGCATTTGAAAGATCTCCCCATAATATGCTCTGGCACCTTATAACCATAACATGGAGAGAAAAAAACACCCGGCACCACCAAAAAGCCGAGCAAAACACAAATATGCAATTGGCAGTAGGCAACTAGAAGCTCTAAGTTTAAATAGCTCTTGCTCTACCTTAAGGAAAGTAGAAGGTCAAGGACAAACCTCTAAATAGCTCTGTACAACATTCTGCACTGACAACCTCCGTTCTGTTAATTCTATCTCATGTGGAGCAATCACTCATGAGAGCATTTTTTCTTGGATACCAGGATCGGATCAGCAGAATTTATCCACGAGCATTCCACACGCCGAAAGGGGAACTCAGAGGGGGAAGCTTGGCTCAGAACTCATACATCCCTGTTCCAAAATGCAAGTGTCTTTGCAATGGGGTGAGATAGAAGCTGGTCTTAAAGGACAAAGCAATAGAATAAATGGATCATCAATGGAGCTATATATCCAACGCCACTAGAAAAATACACGTGATAAAAACTAGTATACCTAAAATGTCTTGTTATTTAAATAGACAGAATGCAAAATAGCTAAGTTCCCTATTCCTTTTCCTTATAACTTCTGTATACAGAAAAAAAGCCACTTAATTCCAAGAGCTTGTGAAGTAGGCAATGGCAGTGAAAGGTGAACACAAAAAGCTACAAATGAAGCTAAGCAGAAGGGGCTGCCTATAAACACCGACAGGCACAAAACGCTGCTTTTTCTGCGGAGAAGGTTGCCGAGAAGCCTCCCCCGGCCATAGGGGATGAGCTGCCTCCCCCGATACACTGCGTCCTGCAGCTCCGTCCTGCTCCACTGCACGGGGCTGGTCTGGCCGATTGCTCTGTAAAACCTGCAGAGAGGCTTCCTGCAGAAAGCGAGGGACTTTGTGGGGGGAATTGAGGTGCATATAACCATATCGGACACCACTAGGCACCAGAATAAACTAAAATTCAAGTTGATTTAGAAATGGATGTGGGCAGAGTTTATTCACCCTGAGCAAGGAAACCAAGCGTGAGAATAGCAAAACATTTCAGACCTTTGCAAGACTGACCCACGGGCTCAGAGATCTCACTGACATCAGACGCTCTGGAAGGCAATCAACCACATTAACGTTGTTGGGATTCATGGAACTGCGTTTATGAGACAGTTAAAATTCAAATCCTCAATTATGTTACACACTTTCATCTCCTACCAAACAGCCAAAACAACATGTAAAGGAGAAGAACCTAGAAGATGATGGTAGAAATTTAGTTTGGTTTTACGGCATGAGCTCAAGATGAGCCTTGCAAACAAAGATTGCCATTTAACCTTTTCTATTATATTTCATTTTTGTTTACAGATTTTTTTTTAATTTCCTGAGGTTGAACCAAATAAAGATACGAATTCTTGAACCCTCATGCAGAGTGGCAAGATCGAGCGCTTTCCTGTAAAATCACAGGGCACATGAGCACCCATCCTGCAGGATGGTGGCCCAGGCCGCCCTGGGCCCTGCTCCGGCCACCTCTCGCATCTGACGGGCTGGGATGGGGCCGGTGAGGAGCTCTGGCTGATTCCAGCTTTTGTTCCTGTTTTTAATTTTTTAGGGGATTCCACCAAGAGATTCCGCTAAATTTTCCCTTTCCGGGCTTCTCTGTGTCGCTGTGTCCGAGGGTCCTGCAGCAATAAACAGCAGGGACACATCGGGGGAGCCGCGGGAGCTGTCAGCGCGCGGCCGTGCCAGGCTGCCCTCCTGCTCCCATGCAATAAGCTGCACTGCCTCGCTACAGACATGGACAGACAAGAGTACTACATTTATGAAGCAGATACACCTTTGAGCCCAGATTTCCAGCACCACTGTCCTGCTTACATTTGTACCTCCTACGTTCTTCATGCTTCAGGCTGGCAGGATGGCAGCTTGGCAGAGCTCGTGTCCCCACGGAGCGCGGGACCTGCTGCCCGTCCTGTCCCCGCGGAGCGCCGGACCTTCGGCCGGCACCGACAGAGTGTGGAGCGCGGGCCCTGCTGCCCGTCCGGTCCCGGCGGAGCGCGGGACCTGCTGCCCGTCCCGCACGGACACGGCCAGCGCTGGGACGGCCGCGCGGGATCGTGCCTGGGCCTTGCTTTGTCAACCCGTGCTGGATTGGCTGCCTTAGACCACCAGGGAGAGCAGGCCCCAAGGCAGGTGCTTCTGCAGAGTCACACACGTCCCCTTCCTATGGCTGAGCCACGCTCGGATCATTATTAGCAACAATGCAATGGAAAAAAAAATGCTTCAAATATGTTTTTAGTCTATGAAGTGCACTATGTGTACTGTGTACTCTGTGGCTTCCTCGGCTTTCTATAAGATCTGGCCCTTACACTTTTGAAAGGAGCTTCTAAATAATTATATAGCATTAACAGTTTGATGTGATATAAAAGGCCTTCAAAAATATTTAAGAATTAATTTCAGAGGAAATACACAGAAAAGCTACAGTTTACACATATATGCTAGCACCATAATTTTTATTAATTGCATACAAAAATACTAAATTAGAGAAGGAACTTTAAAACTTTCTATTGCTTCCAAAGCCATTTTTTGCAGGACGTCAAACAAAAATTTGTAAATTTTGATTTTATCTAGCCCATACAAGGATAATGGCAGACCTTCTCCCAGAAGATTTTTTATTTTTACTTTTTTTTTCCTTTTTGTTGTTTTCCTTGTTAATTATGCTAAGAAAAAAAAAAAACCTATGCTTATTTCTGACTTTTTAAGTCTTCTTTCAGTTTTCACAGGATCAATATGTACTTTTAATGTTACTGTGGCTATTCTTTTGCCCTACGGTAATAAAACAAGATAGTTTGCTTTTCTTTAAGTTACACATGAAAAAGACCCTGACATTTCCCAGCTATCCAGGCATAGATAAGTCCATGAAGGAAAGGAAGAATGAAAGAGAAAGAAAAAAAAAAGGGCAAGGAGGGCAGTGCCAGAGGAAACCCGAGCTCCAACGCGGAGGTGACACCGATGCACACAGGGGTGCGGGTGCTGTCAGACCTGGGCAGCGGCGCTTTCCAAACGCTCCAGCTACCCGGTCCGGGGCGCGCTGCTCGCGCTGTGTTAAAGCTCGTGGAGTGCCAAAACTGGGCAGCAGCTCAGACACACGCAGAGCTATTCGGTTTGTGATTCAGGGCTGAAAGACCCGCTCAAACCTGTTCTACCAGGGAGCAACACTGCACAATCCACAGGACGGCACGTTTCCTGCACGGGGATTCCGTATGCCAGCCGGAACCGAACCGCTCCATTGGGCTCAACTCCTTTCTCCTTGGACTGCCAGCTGTGGGTATTTGGCTATCGCAGTCTTGATAAGTTGATTTCTCCGAAGAACAATCTTGTAAAGGGACTTTCCTTGTTTCATGAACTCTGATTAATTTAATATGTAAATGAGGCATTTGAAAATGTATATATACACACACATCTATATATATATGAATATATATGTGAAGTTCGTACTGAACTAAGGTGCTTCTTTAAAGAAAAAAATACTTTTTGACACTACAAGACAAGAAATTTTGACATGTGAATTGCCAGTGTCCTTACTAAGAGTGGATTATCATCACTACAGTCATTACAGTTGAAATGAAGAAATCTAAACAGGGTGATAACAGAAAACTGAAAACTAGTGTGAACATGTGCATGTATCAATGTTTCATAAACAGAAACCTAAGTCTGCCATCACAGGACATTTCCACAGGCATTTTAAGCAAGTTGCCTTTCATTTTTCCATCTTGTGATTTTGGGAGTAAATTATGAGTTGAACCTGCTTTAAAAAAAATGAAAGCATTAGAAATACTAGCCCTGCTATTTGACAGCATGGCACAGCATTTACAAAGGGGGAAATCGCCAGCTTAGAATTAAATATATAGACCATAAAAGACATAATCACCATGAGGAACAGCCACAGAATAATCTTTCCTAGCCTGGGATTTTAATAACAACATAAAAATCCCGCGAAAATAAACTGCATCTGTCTCCTCTGGTCAGTAAATTCATTCAAAAAAGAACTGTCCTCCAGCGCGAAAATAAACTGCATCTGTCTCGTCTGGTCAGTAAATTAATTCATTCAAAAAAGAACTGTCCTCCACAAAAAAAAAAGTCCATCTATCAAGGCTGGTAATCAGGGAGATAGATACTGCATTATGGAATTTAGATCTTAAATTGATCTTCTGACGTATTCAAGCCTGACACATCACATCCTGGACAATCATCGTGATATCCTTTCCACAGGTAAGTTTCACTAACATCATCATTTTTTGACCCTATGGTTTCTTTCAGATGCTGCCATGTTTCAATATAATTTAGCCTGTTTTTTTAATTTGTTTTGTTTTGTTTTCCCATTATTTCCCCCTAACTTATACTAATTGACTCTCAAGCCAAAAAGCCAAGCTGCAAAACTGTTCTTTAGCTGCAATGACTTCTTGGTCCTTCTGCTGTTCCCATTTCTTCACTTCTACTTTCCTATCACAGAGTCATGGAATTGTGGTCAAACTTCAGGTTGCAAGTACTTTTTATTATGGTTTAATCAAAATAACATCATTATCTAATTTGTTGTGAATGGTTCTTATGGTGCCTCCACCTCTGAAGTTGTGAGCACATACTGAAAGAGTTATCAATCATTTAGTAAATGTCTTCTGTTAACATCTACAGAGTAGATCTCATTTACTTTCTTTAAGGCAAAATTAGTGTGAATACAGAAACCTAAGCATTTTCCCCATCTGAAGTGAACTGCCTTGATTTGCATTGATATTATGAAACTACATATATTTTAGAGTCAAATCAAATGAAAGTATGCATCAAATCAGAAATAAAGGTTTGTGGGGGTTTTATTGGTTGTTTGTTTTTCATTTTGGTTACGTTCACAGGCTTTGCCCTCATGCACCTTCTTTCCCCTTGATTTTGTCCAACACTGATAGGCAGATTCCGGCTCCATTCGGTATTTCCTCATGTTCAGGCTTTCCATTAGACACAAAGCACAGACACCTGTACCCGTACCGGCCCCGGAGAGGGACCCTGGAGAGGATGGGGCCAGGGCGAGTAGGGAGTCCACCTTGGAAAAGCCTTTCGTGTTCCCCTACCAAATCTGTCAGCCACCATAGAGGAATCCAGTGAGTAACTTGCATTGGAGCGATTATATAATTCCTCTCATTTCAGAAAAAAAAAAAGGTAAAAAAAAGATTTTGCATATAAAAAGGATTAGGAGAACATTGATTTTGATTCTCATATTGTTTGAAAAGAAAAATATCTGATCCTACCTCTTCACAGGCGGTCCTGAAATCCATGTGCTATGGCACAGCAAGTGATATTTGTCTAAAACAGAGAGAAAGATTTCATTACAATGAAAACGATACTGTAAAGTGTAGCAGTTAGCAGTCTGAGCTGAGCAGAAAGCGATCGCACTGTTGTTGGCCAGATCCCGTCACAGTCGCTGGTTCAAAGGAGGAACGCTCCAGGCTGCAGGGGTTGGAAGCGCCAGGAGCTCCGGGCTGCAGCCTGGCTCCATGCACAGCAGCGAGGGCAGCGCTCCCCTCAGCAGCCTCCTCCCTGCACAGCGCTCACACTCACCGCAGCGCTCAGGGAATTTTCATTTCTTTTCCGAACTTAGAGAATTTTGGAAGAAATATCCCAGAAGGGAATGACCAAGTGCAGCTCTTCAAAATGCTCTCTCTGCTATGAAACTCACTTTATCTTTCCTCCCCTAATTAAAAACATGCATGAATACCTCTCATCTAACTGCATGTTTTTAGCATATATAATCTCTCCAAGAAGGCCAGCATCATTTAATAGCAGCTTACTTTGCTGAAATACTTATTAGGTTAAAAAAAAAGAAAAAAGTTAGAAAAGTCAGGACTACATGAGAGCACTGGCAAAATGTCACACCAAATCCTGCGATTATTACTTTCCTAGGCCATTGCCTGGAGTATGTCATCCCAATGCACACACCTTCATTTATTTATGAGAAAATGTTATTGGAACAAGCTTCAATCAGAGGCTAGTAACACTGCCCTACTGCAGTAGAAATACTGCTGCATCAATGAATAACACTTCCAGGAAACTCTTCCCAGGCAAAACAGGCATTTATTTAATGGCTTGAGAAACAAAACCTGTAATAGAAATCCTTTCCATCAAGCATTTTATTACTATTCTGAATGACTGCTCAAAGCCGCAACAGAATTTTTGTTTGTGTCAGCCTAAGTTTAAAATACAACTGAAGAATAGACCTTACTTAGTACAAAAATGCAAACACTAATCATTCAAAAAAGTCATGTTGCTTAATTTGTTTGGATGCCCCGAACTGATTTTGTTTGAACCCCAGCACTTGCACATGTCTGGCATTCCTATTGTGGATCCACAAGGCTCTGCTTGCTTCGCAGTCCCACAGCCTTTCCTTTCCCAGCCTGGTTCGGCTGGGTGAAGGGATTTGGAAGCGGCACGTCGTTATTTCCTGCTCACCTTGAAGATTTACTCTTGTGGGACAGTTCCTGTGCAATGCAGTATGTTCCCTTGCTGTTTTTATAGCCCCTCTTTCCAGATACCAAGTGAACTGAACTTGCAAGGAAGCTTTATTTGCCTTAGAAAAGATTCCTGAAAAGATCTTGGCCTGCTGGAACTTCCATATCTTAAAAACAGACACTGAAGCATTGCACAGAGTCCTTACTAATGCTTTCTCAGCTCACATTTGATCTATATCCTATCTATATCTGTGAACTCAGTATTTCTGGCTCTGTTTGCTTTGTTTTTCTGTTTAGTTCCATTTATTTATCTTTTCATTTCAGAAATATTTGCAGAAAAAGAGTCAAGAATGATTAAGTTCCTCAGTCAGCAATTAAGTTTCGTGGCTGTTTGTATAGCCGATGAATTAAAATAACTCCTAGGGCTTACTTTTTAAAGAAAAAAAAAGGCAAACCAGAACTTTACAATAGTTTAAATACCACTGCTGGTTTAAAATGCCGAGGGCAATGCTGTTTTCCAAAGGCAGGAGCCGTAGTGTCCTAACTTTGCTCTGAGGACCGTGAGGGCAAACGAAGCCCTGGGTCCGGAGCGAGGACGAGCCCTGCAGCCGGGACCCCTCCTGCCCAGGGACCCGGCCTGCCGAGGAGGGCCCCGCCGAGCCCTGCGTGTGCCAAGTCACACGGAGGGAGGACAAGGCACAAGGCAAAGCACAGACAACCAACGCGCTGACGTTCATTTCCCATAGGAACAGCCCACGTTGTTACCACTGCACTCGGAAATTCCACTGAGACAGGTGATTGAACACAATCATTCACCATTTGTGAAAAGAGCTATCACTATCAAAACATTGACCAAAATGTAAGCCTGCAGCTACATAAATCTCCGAAAAAATCACACCTTTTGCAGTCAGTGTACATATTGGTCAGGTATTCGACAAGCATCAGCAAATAATCTTTCCAAAATTGTTGACACTGCTTCAGTATAATTTATTTCTTACTGCTCCTCAGCTGGACACAAGCAGATTTAAGTCCATTATCATGTTTCTTTTTCAGTCTGTCAGCAATTTTTAAATTAGGATGCTTAATTAACAGAACATAAAATGTTCATTTACAATTTTTATTTACAATATGCAATGTTTTTAGGCTTTACAAACTTTACCGTCTCTTACATCAGCTCAGAATCTTCAAGTTTCCAGCATTTCAACCGCAAATAAACTCTCTAGATTATAAAATTATAAGAGTATATATCACCCATCACACAGAATTTTTATCACATTGACAAAATGCCCTAATAATTAATAATTATGTTTTCCGATAGTACCTGAAAAGAGTCAACAAGCACAAATATAATTTGAGGAGGTGATAAAGCAAATGCTGTTCAAAACCGTAGGCTGTGGAACGTCCTGCTGATGAATACCGCGGGTAGCCCTGGGCGCCCCGTGCCCTCCTCGCCCTGCGCCCTCCGCCGTATTGAGCGGCCGCCCTGGCGCTCTCCTGGGCGCCCTCCTCCATGTCACTGTTGTGTCACCCCTCCAGCCTCAGCTCCGGCTGGAGGTGGCTCTGCCCATGGCTCTGCCCATGGCTCTGCCCATGGCTTTGCCGATGGCTCTGCCCACGGCTTTGCCTCGGGGAGCAGCTCTGCTCCAGGAGGTGGAGTGGGACCTGCTGGTGCTCCCAGGGCTGCGGCATGGAGGCCGCGGCGGCGCTCGCAGTGAGGAGCAGGAACGCGGGTTCCTCAAACACCCACGGCCCGGGGGTTCAAACAGGGGAGGCCGCGGGTGCTCGCAGTGAGGAGCAGGAACGCGGGTTCCTCCAACACCCACGACCCGGGGGTTCAAACAGGGGAGGCCGCGGGTGCTCGCAGTGAGGAGCAGGAACGCGGGTTCCTCCAACACCCACGACCCGGGGGTTCAAACAGGGGAGGCCGCGGGTGCTCGCAGTGAGGAGCAGGAACGCGGGTTCCTCAAACACCCACGGCCGGGGGGTTCAAACAGGGGAGGCCGCGGGCGCTCGCAGTGAGGAGCAGGAACGCGGGTTCCTCAAACACCCACGGCCCGGGGGTTCAAACAGGGGAGGCAGCAGAGCAGCGGGTGCCTCTGACGGGGCCAGGAACCCCTGCAGGCAGGGACAGGAACAGGCAGGCCTGGAAAAGCTGCTTTCCCTCCTTCCTACTCCCTGCAAGCCGGGAATTCTACTTCCCTGCTCAAAACAGGAGATACCAAACGTACTTGGCTCATCTCTGCTGACACACGCAAAGGAAAAACACGTGGCAGACAGGCTGGGAACAGGTTGTGGTACCCCCTTGGTGGAACGGGAGTTTATTCGACACTGAGAAAACATTTGCCGAGCTGCATTATTAAAGCATTTGTGTTCTGGAGGGAAATCCATGGCTGGAGCAGGATGGTGCGGCTGAAGGCAATGGCGGCCCTGGGGACGGCTGCGTTGAGGACACGCAATGAGCACCCGAGCAGTGCCCTGCTCCTTCACTCCTCAACCCGTACTCCAGGGGTGGAATCATGTAACTTCAAAAAGCAGCTCCATGGCACCATATTCCAACATATTCCATAAACTGCTAACAAAACAATAAAACATGTGCGTGCAAGAGCAATATTAAATATTTTGTTTCTAAATGTTGAGAATGCCATGAGCTAAATGGAATATTATTTAAGTAATAAAAAGGAACACTTCATTTTCAAGGTTACTGATACAAAATAAAAATAAAATATTCTATACACCCAAAAAATCATGGAGAAACAATATTTTAACAAATACAAATAATTTAAAGTAGCTTCTGATATCATTTCAGTGAATTATTTCTTTACTTTTTAATGAAATCTAGGGTATTACTATATTAGAGTGATTTGGTGTAAAATTTCTCAATGATTTTGGAACAGACAGTCCCTAGATGTGCACACAACCTTAGTCCAGCTATAAAGCTCAAAATAGGGAGAACTTTCTACACATGACAGGACAAAATTACCACCTTAATAAATTAATTTCAACTGAAATACGTTCAGGAAGTTGGAGGCCCCTAAACTGCATGTACTGCAAGCATCCAGCACCCATGGCAAAACTAAGATGAATTTAGACTTGCTGCAGCTGTGCAGTCACTTTGTCAGCAAGGAAACAAAGCTTGGCAATGAAATGTCCAACCCCTAGTGAAGCTCATGCTTCAAAAGAACTGAAGTTGGTAATTAGTAGCTAACAAGGTTTTAAAATGTTTAATTCATTTTACATTGGCTAAAACAAGAGAAATATTTACCTGACAGTCATAATTTATTGTTTTAATAGCAAGGATTCACAATCAGCAAGCCCCATTAAGGATTCACTGCATAAACATAAAGTTTGTCAAGAATCAATGAGCCAGAAGACAGTATTATCAGAATGAATGTATGCTGGGCTCCAGTGTATTTATGCAGTATCATTTGTACTAATAAATATGTAGTGCCCCCAGAAAAAAGACTCACATAAAGTCTTGATGAGTACCCCATGCTGCTTGGCTTGTCAAGCATGGGCAAAAGCAAGATGATGGAAGTACCTGAGCAGCACTGCAACATCCAATCCTTCAGAGGAAAAAAGCGGCATTAATGGAGAAGCTTTGGAAAACGGCAAGGTTGGATCGCAGGCACGAAAAGACTGCTAACACTCATCGTTTTGTGAACTGCTATACGGGCAGGAAAGCTCAGCTTTAGGATAAAGCCTGACACTGCCAGAAAAACATCTGTGTTCAATCTCTTGCTTTTGCTACATTTTCTTTGGGTGATTCACTTGACATATCTGCATATAGTTACATCCTTAACTTCTAAGACAGGAAGCACAGATCTCAAGCCCAAACGGGGGGATAAATATCTCCATATCTGACCCGCTCTGG